AAATGTCAGTGAGAGAAGTCTGGATATGTGATGATGAGGGTGATTAGATAACTTCCTGTTGTATTGTTCATAACCAAAAAAAAGCAACAGTGATACCAATAGTACATTGTGTGCCTCCCTTTACATATGTGAGAGGACGTGATCGCATGTTAGGTCAGGTTATTCAAATACAAAAGTAACAATGGTCTTTCTGAAACCTTCCGTGTGTGCCTAAATCAGAGGTGCGTGTCTGTAAAAGCTCTTTCAAAGCTCCTACCTAATAAAGCTACTGGGGGATGCGTTGTATCCAAAAAAAACTACTATGAATAACTAACATTGAAAATCCGTCACCGTCAAATGACACGCATGAATAGGTACTGCATGTAAAAAATAAACTGGTGAGGGATTGTAACGTTTTAGAAGATATTATTCATACTTGTCATAAAATATATATATATATTATGTCTACTTTCCTATTTCCAATCTCAAGCCTTTAGTCTCACAACTTCAACATTAAAATGGAAATGCACATTGGCAATAGTCATCATTTTAAAGGCAAAAATAAATTAAATTAGATGCATTTGAGGCAACGACATGCAACTTATGCTATTTTACACTCAGGTTAATGCAAAGTATGTGGCGTTAACTTGAAAACTTAAAAAAAGTGGTTGAAATATCACTGTCTTAGCCACAAAGCTGTACACCTAGTTACAAAACGTACAAAATGTATTGACTACATTCACTTGATGACAGTGACTGATTATATTAGGACTACTATATTCATACCTACTGGCACAACATTTTGGCACTCTTACTTATTTGGCATTTTTAAACGACCATTTCGACCATCTATACGTATGTTTATTTTCCTCTCATATCAAAACATATGCAATAACACAGTAGTGGAGTGTCATGGAGTGTAAACTGCTTTTTTCCTTTAAAAAGTGGACTGCTATCCTGATCCTTGACAGAAAGAAATACAAACAGCAAAATACTTTAAAGCAAACAAATAACATTAAACAAAAATTGTGACACCCACTTGAACAAGTAAAAACATAGGAAAAGGATTGATTTCAAATGTCAAGCATTGCTAAGTATTTTATATCAACACCAAATGTTAAAGAATAAGATATATATGAAAGCTTAGAATAGTAATAAATTACATGATTTAAACATTCCAACCCCCATAAACAACATATTTGGCTTTAAAAATATCGAACTACAAGCTGTTAAGCATTTTTTTATTTCAATATACTCACACATTAATCTCTTTATATTCAACCAGTATGTAAGCAGTTTTATTTAAAAGCCATTTTTGTGAAAATACATACAAATATGTTTTCATATAGTTTTTCAATTTTCTAAAAAAAAAAAATGGACCTTTCACATCTCGATGATGAAGTCAAGTGTGCTTGAAGGATCCGGGGTCGGCGGTGGTGGCTACAGAAACAGACGTGTTGTCTCAACAATGACCCCCCCCCTCCCCCCCTCCCAGTTGAGATGACAGAACTCCCATGAGCAGCTGTTACAGTCAATCAAGCCTCCTATGTGTCCAACATACTCAGAGATAGGAAATTATGATGTCACCTGGTTACAAAAAAAAGGCCTCCCTTTGTTTTCCAAGATGAAATTCCATCGAGAGGGAAAGTCTTTTGTTAAGTGAGAAATAGAGAGCGAGAAGAAGGAAACGTCTTCATGACACCATAATGTGAGGCCCCTTGACCCATTCAACTAAAATGGAGAGAAAGAAAGCGTGAAGAGAGAGGGACAAGGGGAAAAGACGAAAACCGCTCTATTGAAACCATTGTAAGGCACTCAAAAGGTTCTTATCGATCAGGAGAGATCTGTCAAGCTGACGTTCATTCCCATGCCAGGTCTAACGTAAGGTACCGCATGCACTGCTTTTGGAAACTCTGGAGTCATCACACGGCCATTCTCCCCAGTACTCCCCGTTATAGACAGCCTCGCTTTGCTCCT